TTAACTTTACAGAACGAGTGTAGTATGCATTCCGAGCCGAGGTAAGGAAAACAAATAGGTTTTTCGTAAAAAGTTCAAATTGTATTCAAGTTGGTGAGGCACCAATTTATTGTCAGGAGGCAAGTGGCAACGTGACATTTGGCGCGATATAACATTAGCGTGTGAGAGGAGTAAGGTGGAGACAAGGGTTAGATTGGTTTTTTAGTGGGAATCGGTTAGTACGGTATCTAGAAAGGCTTCCTAAAAGGGCCACGCCTTTCAGACAAATGCTCTAGTCGTCATGGTGTACTTGGATTTGAGGGTTATGATGTGCGTTTTACCAGCGGCCATGCAAGATTGATGGGAGCATCCGACCCCCGGGTAAATGTCCCTGCCCCCCAGATAACGCGATCTGGGTGGAGGTTTATTTGTAGCTTTCTAACTTCCTCAGAAAGTAACTTGGAGTGGATCCGAGGGTTTATAAGCGCAGACCGAAATTTGATGTGCATATTTGGGCCGAAGTTCATCGGCCACTGCGGGATAACCGTATACTATGCACAAGCTGCTTACGCAATTATTTACCAAATCAGCAGCAAAAGTACTAGCCTAAAGCCCAGATAGCCGTTTCTGGCGCAGCATGGCACAGCTGTGGGCGAGGGGTTCGGCTCATCAGCGGTTCTCCCGGCATTTCCTGTGTGTGCTTTTTGGTAGACACTCCACAGCTTTGAAATTGTAGCTTTCTAGCATCCAAAGAAATTAATATTTAATCTGAAGTAGATCAGTACAGGCAAGACTATTTTTGTGCGATTTGTATTGCCTGCAGAAGTGAACAGGCAACCAATGCGGTCGTAGGGACACACTACATGGAGAGACGACTACCTAACCGGTTGCAGAGTGACCAAGCAAACAGTACCAGTGTCTAGTTTATAAGGAAACAGAAGAGATATGCAAACAACGATTGGTCGAGGTACTTGATGCAAAAGAAAAACCCACTGTCAGCGCATTTAAAAAAAGTGACAATGACTTACGGGGGGTGAGATGACGCCAATGCGCAGCAAGGGCCAGCGAGCATCCAAGGTCGGCTATACTGTTGTAGGGCCTCAGAATTCCCGTTGACATGGTTAAAATCACCGCCAAAAATAGAGGATCCTCACTAGAACAAAAAAGAGTGGTCATTTTTTAACAGACAAGAAGGGACAAAAGCATGCAGGCTAGCGTGTTCACCACCACCACCACCACCGATCATCGGTTTCGATTATGTCCACTACATGTTCCACTACAAGGCGGTGCAGGGACGGTGACTTGCGAGCGAATTAGTTTTAAGCGATAGTAGACTTGCGCCGCATCTACCACATTCTCGCTTCCTTCACTCACCCGAGCCCCGTGTCAAGACATAGTCA